CTATCATTCTGATATGAAAGCCAGCAACTTTTGATACTAAAAGTACCTGAAAATAATGACGGCACACGATTCCACGAGAAATATTAGACATACACGTACATAAATAAGAAACAGAATCTATAATAACAACAAAATGCTTTCATTTATTGTTTTCTAGCCGCTTGTCCATGAGTTGCCAAATTTCTTTGATATTTGTTCGATCAACTTCTATGACTATTGAATTTAATAGAATTTGCCTTGCATCATAAACGTCTTCTATGAATTTATCACCTACATTTTCATCTTGTAAAAAAAATAAATTTTACACAAAAAAAAAATCAAAAAAGTAGTTAAAATAACATACAAAAAAAAAAAAATAACAGCAGTTAATTACTAACATAACAGAACTCTAACCTCATTATATGAATCGACTATTTCTACTCCAGTTCTTATCGCATTAAAATACAAACACTGGGCTATTTCAACATATTCAACAGAAAGAATATGTGGTGTCAAGTACTCCATCATCACATGACTAATTACAGGAAACATTTCGCTTCCAACAGAGGTAATTCCAATACAGTTAGTTAGAGTCTGATATTTGAAGAAACGATTCCATTCTGTCTCCTTTTCTAGTCTTTCATCTAAGGTTTTTACCAAATCACATAAGCTGCTATTACTGTGTAATACTCATTTTATAATGCTATTATACCCTTCTACACGTAATGTTATTTGAACTCCAGCAGAAAAGATCTTGAATGTAAAGCGCAGGCCCACACATGGCGACTTGGATATAAAACCCGATTTAAGTAATTTGCAACAAGAGAAAACTTTTGTAATAAATTTTGCCATCTCACTTCAAATAATGTACTATCTAAAGTATTACGGTAATGATAAAATTTACTAATAAACTGACCGTAGGTATTACTTTAAATGCAAAAGTTATATAATTAGTTAACTAATTAATTAAAATGATAATCTAAATTAGACCAGTTAAATCTATTAAAAAAAACTTTACAAACTTGTATTACTGACCTAATTTTGCTTTAAGATTTTTAGGAAGGTTTTGACTTATATGAAAAATACAGTGTAATGACTTGGTAGTTGTGTAGACTTGTTTAAGTGCACTGTCCATAGCTGGATCTG